ACTAAAAATAAGATGGTTGCAGACTTCAATATAATATTACATCGGACAACTATATTGAGTCCGAGTCTTATCACCGCTCAAACTTTTCAAAATATCACGTATGTGACCCTAAATCAAATCAAGCCTTAACGTGAAGGTAGGTGTTGAGAAAACATAACTGCCAGTAACATGTCAATCAGTGAGTAAACTGAATCTTTTTCTACAACAAGAGAAATTGTACATCCAAGGCACAAATTAAAATTGAACCTACATGTCTGCAACAACTGAAATTTGGTGCAATATCTGCCAAAATATTACAAGTAGTTAGAAATAGTTGATAGTGATATCAAAATATCAAAGAAATTAAATCGTGATATGACTAGATTTCTTTCACTTGGTGGTTGGGGTAGAGTTTTAGTCTACCTTCCACCGAATATAAAAAATCTTAGAGTTGTCTAATCTATTGACGTCTCGATGAACAGAGCCATTATTTGTGTCACATCTTCAAATTCAAATAAGGACTTTTATTTTTTCTTATCTCTCAAATGATAAGAATTGAAGCGATTGAGAGAAAGAAAAAAACTATTGCATACACTCCCATTTGGCGGCCTTTATTAAGACAAAAGTAAGAGTGAAACTACGAATCATATATAACATAGTATTCATTGAGAGACAGAATATGTTGTTGGTGTTATTGCTGAATCACTTTCATTACTATGTTGTTATTATTATTTTTATTATTACCTACTTAGTATTATTATATAGTGTGTTTAAATATTTTAATGAATTTGATCGAACTTAGAAGCACAAAGAAATATAAATGAGAAAGGGGGTTTAAAATAGGGCATCTTACATAAATCTCACTACTTTAGATCCCAATTACTAGGATTCCCGATAGTTTGTAATATTACTTTTTATACCATATTTTGGCCCCGAGATACATGTATCATTGATGGCGAGATACATGTATCCAACCGTTTTTAAAGCTGAGATACACGATTTATTAATTTAAATTAAAGGAGTTGTAACTTATTTCCTTAATTAATGGATTAATTTCTGACTAATTAACAACTCAACAAATTTATAGGATCTTGAGTATCATCTCTAACAAATATTCCTAAAATAACGAAATCATAAACCTAATTAATTTTGTTATTGTACTCTTCATCTTCTTCATCGGCTTGAATCATTAATGGCGAGATACATGTATCCAACAGTTTTTAAAGT